CAGCAATATACATTATTGTTTGTAAAAACAGAGGAAAAAGTAGCAACTTGACTTGAGAAGAAGTGATACAAAACTTTTAAATGATTCCGGATTTTATAAGATCTGAATAAACTTTTAATTCAAAACTCTTATCAACATCAAATGGCTGATAAACAACAAATACATAGCACTCAATGGGGTTGATTTATTAAAGGAATATACTGTTCATAGTGGATGTTTGCTTAGTTTAGTAAAGTCAATCTGTGTTTACTTCAAATATCCAATAATGTGCAAGAGAGAAATTAGGATTTTTGCTTGCACATGATTGGATCATTAAAATGAACACAGCTTTACCTTATTCACTAAAATAAGTTAACATACACTGTTCAAAGTGAGCAATATCTATTTCTTTAGTAAATCAACCCCAATTAAATCAACCCCACTGACACAATAAATACAATACACATTTCTTTGTAAAACATTGTCACTGATAAATAAGTTATTTGAAGCTATCATGGGTTAATATATATAATGCTTGCTGTTCCACATGTTATAGCACAAACTATATGTCCAAATAAATATGAAATACACACATATGTAAAATGGCAAACACAGTTCACATGTGTTATAAATAATAATATTTAGAAAACATGTGAATAATAATGTTTTTTCAAGCACATACATTTTCATTTATTGCATCTTCTGTGTTTGTATAAATGTCTGAGGTTATAGCCATTATTCATAAAACTTACCTCTAGTGTTACATTCTGTGGAGTAATATGCATAAACAAAGTTTCCTAATTTCATACATCTTCTTGCTAATCCTGCAGCAGTCATAGTTTCACAAATTCTGCTTGATGTGTTGTTTAAATTGCCTTAATATTCCCATCTCTGGGTTAAATTGCATTATGGAAAAGTGCCAGATTTTTTTTTTTTATTGTTTAGCAACGTCACCACTGTTTAGACCACCCTTTGATCCACCCTTGTGATTTCAAGCCCTGAGAACAGATATTGAAGTCTGTATTTTGAGTTCATGCAGTCCTGGCATTGTTACAAAATCTACCTTTAATTGGTAAAGACTCCCCACCTAATGGGAAAGGAGGGGTATTGTTTTAAAATAAGGACTACAGAGTTATTTATTATAAACACATTCTTCTTATAAAAGGAATAGAATGAATATGCAGTCTAGTACCTCATTCTGCTAAAAATGTTGTGCCTGTGTACTTGAAACACTTGAAAATATAGCCTATACATATGGTTTCATTTCTAAAGTTTACCACCAGACAAAACATTCTTTTTTAATTGTCAACAAGATATGGAATTATCAAAAATCTCTAGTGGGGAGTCAGATACCTGGTTAGAGCCTGAAATGTCAAGGGGGCCTCCCTTGCACCCCTAGTCTGTGTGTCCTCAGAGTTGTGGCAGTGACCTTAGGGACAAATAGTGGCATGGTGTCTACACTCCTAAATTGATAATTTGGGCCAGGAGAAATAGCATGGAGGGACCCTTAAACAGGAAGTGCTCTTGAGGAGCCATAGACCACTGAGGACCAGATAGCCCCACAGAGCTTTTCAGGGTAGGCATCTGCAGCTGGCTGGCCGTAGACTGACTTAAACAGGTAACAGACAACAGGCATAGCCCTTTTTTCGGAAGGCAGGCTGAGTCAGTAACAGGCAGATAGGAATAAGCCGTAGTCAGGAGATAACCTGGGTTAGCAAATAGTAAGGCTCGAGGCAGGTCAGCAATTGGTAAGCAGGAACAAGCTGTGGTCAGGAGACAAGCCAGGTCAGCAACTGGTAAGCAGGAAC